TGATAAGCCAACCTTTAGCTCTTGCAACTGTAATGGTATTAGTTTAGTGAATATAATGATATTAATTTTTATGGTTTTGCATATTTTATGTCAGCTCTAGTACGCATCTCATTTATAATACCTGAACAGCACAACCACCCCATGAAATATGGAGGCAGAAGGTACTTTAGGGCAGGTGCTTGGGGTTCAGGTTATTCCATCAGTAAAGGAGTCAGGAATCTATATCCGTGGCATGCTGCTGTGGACAATGTGCTACTACCACAAATTTCATTACTCACATCTCGCAAGTCACCTACTGGAGTTACTTTAAAATAGTTTCCTATCCATGCTAAAGTCACTGAACTCAAAGACTCCTGCCTTCAGGAACTCTCTATAAACATTTCTTAACACACTTCCAAGGATCACTACACTGTACTTTCACTCAATTCTGCAGTCAGATAAGACAATAACTACTATTATTTCATAATGAATTAAACATACCTCTTTGTCTAATGAGATTCTCATTTGCTTTCCACCTAGAAGGCTGACTACTTTGAGGCGGGTCTGACCATCTGCCTGTCAGCTAGGCCACCACTACATTACATTATGTATTTATGAATCAGTCCAAAAGGGAGGTTTAGATGTTCATCTAAACCAGGTGAAAACCACTGAAATTTGCTTGGATCCCTTAGTACCACGAATTAGCCATGTCATACAAGGGTGGGAAATAAACTGCTGTGCCTCTTGCTCAGAGATATTTCCCCTTTAACTGTTTCAGAATTACATATTGTGTAATTTTTCTTCCTTTGATTTCTTTTCTTTAAAATACGATGTTTACCTATCACAAAAGGGATATAAAAAAAGAAACCAAGACAAAATTTTAAGTCTATTATCCCCAAACTGCAAGCACTTCTAGTATTGCAGATATTTCAGACAGATTCAGAGCCACAGTGTAATATCCAATAATCATCACTCACAGAGGCAAGCTCAATACTTGTTCTCAAATGACGTGTACTGAAAGCTATAGAAATATCTAAGGTTCATGAAGGGGAAAGAAAGCTCACAAGCAAATAAAAACCTGCAATGTAGTTTTGTAATGAAAGCCTGGACGGTATTGGATGGTTGGATCTCTCTTTTACATGGTCATGAAACAAGGTAAAGTCTATATTACATAAACACCAGGATTTCTATTTTTTTTTCCCCTAGAAAGTATCTGGCAGTTAAGAAGAACTTACCGAAAACAATTCAAGTGCAGATTACAAACCTCTACAAGGTTTGCACTTCTTCTTGGCAGCATTTTACATTTGCACGCCCATTTTATCTCTGAAGATGAACGAAGCATTTTGAACTATTCCTCATTCAATATACTTCAGTCTGAGCAAACATATCTAAGACTCAAGAAAGAAGGGGATACCTTACTATGTTATGAAGGCAAAATAAGGAAGTTCTAGAATTCAGTTTGATGTGGAAATCTGAGCAGGGGAATAAAATTAGGGAATTTCCCTCTCCAAAACAGAAATAATTTTGTGATTAATCAGGATTAATTTAACATATTCTCCTTTCGACTGAAACCAGCAATTTCCATGCATTTCTAAAATCTAACTCATATTCTGAGGCTGTATGGTCAGACTAAATGAATTGAAATTAAGAATACTGAGCTCTAGCATCCTAATGACTGATGATGGAAATGCCTACTAACTAGGATGTAAATTTGTCTGTTTCTTACCAGCAAAGCAGACGATAATGCAAGAACAGAAAAATAACAAGAAATATTATTTAAAAATTTTGATTACAAAAAGGCACAAGTTCACTTTGCAGTGTTACCAGCCATTATTAACATTTCCACTACTTGGTACGAACAACGGAGACCTCCAAGATTCAAACAGCTGGTGGTTTCCCTGTATGTCCTGAGGGATTACCCTCACATGTTTGTGCCATAGAACTCAGGCAATTAAAATGCAAATGCTCTGATGAACTTACTGGTCTACCAAATCAGCTACTCAAATGCCTTTTAAATTTGCAACATACACCATGAATATTAAGAATAACTTTCTTCTCTTTACAGTAGGACCTAAGTACTACAGAACTGGTTACTGGATACTAAAGGCTTTGCTTAGTCCTTCAGTCTACTGCATATATTTAAGCATCCTCAGTATTGACAAATGATAGACAACAAACTGAAAGCCTAACAATCAGTGTTGGACTGTGTCTTAGAAATGGTGACATAAGTGGCATTCTGTTCAGACACCACTGAAGCCCACAAATCAATGGCACTGCTCAAAGAAAGAAGTCAGACCTTCCAACAGGTCTCAGCTTGTATGAACAACTGTACATAAGATGAAAGGGCTTATCAATTTAGAGATGCAAACAGAAAAAGAGCCTCAAATTTATCATGGTAAGTTTCAGGAATGGTAATTGGAAATTGCATTAAATTAGTTATGTGATGTCAGATTAATCCTTAGATGATCACAGGGGCAGGTTAAAATAGTATACGTATTTCTGCTGATTAAAGTAATAACAAAGACCCAAATACGACTTATTCCAGAGGTGAAAATCATCCAGCTTCACTACAATAAGCAATATACATATCTATAATTGTGAAAAGACATCACATAAATAAAGCAGAATAGATACTTAAGAGTTGTCACATCCTCCTCCTCCTCCTCACAGAATGGCTGAGGTGGGAAAGGACTTCTTGAGATCATCTAGTCCAACACCTTGCTCAAGCAGAGTCATCTACAGTTAGGACCATGCCCACTTGGATTTTGAGTATCTTCACAGATACAGACTCCACAGTCACTTTGGGCTACCTATTTCAGTGTTTGACCATTCCTACAATAAAAAATTATTTTTTTGTGTTCTGATGGAATTTAACAGGTTTTAATTTGTGCTCATTGCCTCTCATCCTGTCACTGGGCATTACTGAGAAGAGTCTGGCTCCCTCTTCTTCATTCCATCCCATCAGCTATTTATACACATTGATAAGCTCCCTCAAGCCTTCTCTTCTCCATGTTGAGCAGTGTCAGCTTTCTCAGCCTCTCCTCACATGAAAGATGCTCCAGTCCCTTAATTCTCTTCACAGTTCTTTGCTGTTCTCAATCCAGTACATCAATGTCTGTCTTGTACCAGGGAGCCCAGACCTGGAAAAAGCACTCCAGATGTGGCCTCACCAGTGCTGTGCAGAGATCTTTATGCAACAAAAGTAATAAACAAAGGCAAGACAGGGTCTGAGGAGTAAACTGGGTGATGAAATGAAACTCTAGAATGAAATATTTTATTAGGACACCTCAACACAAAATGATTATAAAGTAATTCTAAAAGTAAGCTCTTTCATTGCATCAAATTAATCCAAATTCACTCATATGTATAAGCAGCATGATCCATGCCAGGCACTACATATAATTAATCTGTCTCCATAAAAATCATCTGCAAAAATCTACATTACAAGTTAATATTTCCAAAGTTATCATCTCCAAATTATTTAATACTAACATGTCATATAATATTGCTACACTATGAGTCTTCACAGAGTCCAGGGAACAAGAAATATATATATATATAAATATATCTCATTGCACAAGATGAAGAGTAAAGATGGACAGAATTAGTGTGGCCCTATGGAATTCAATGCAGTTTCATCTGGTTTTGATACCAAAACCCACCCTTTCCATATAAATATACATTTGCACTCCAACCATATTTCTCAGAGATCACCATGGAGATATGCAATGGAAGTTAACATGATCATCATCTCTATAAAACAAATTCCACATGGAGTAAAAGACGATATAAGATTTCTCTTCCCCAAAAGGATCAGTCCGAATTTGTATGCACTGTTTCTTTGTGAAAGATCCAGGCTCAATTAAAACAGACCAGGAACCATTTCTGACCAGTTTAAAATTGTCCTTCTAAAAAAAAAAAGTAAGTTATGACCACTGATAGACCAGACCTGAAAATCTGCAGGAAAGCAAGCTTAATTGCTACCTTATGTCCATCTCTACTAACATGTCATCCTCTGGCATAAGAGAATTAACTTTCCTTGTCCCCACTAAAACCTACACTGTATGTTCCATACACCTATTTTGTTATTGTGCACAGTGCTAACCCCAGAATAATTATAATGCAGGCACTTTAGTAATACCATTCATTTAACATAGCCATATTTAACTCTACAAGGGTTCAATTTAATTTACTTCTTAAATAAGGCTTGAGTTCTAAAAAGACACTGGAATATATCAATTAATTGGGATTCTCTGCCAGAAAATTACTTCACTGCTCGAACACGCATTTTCTGAAAGTTTCTGTAACTTTGCACAAGCTTTATTTAAGGGGATTAGACTTTGGAGGCTTAACTACTGCCGGTTTAAAAAAACCCCACCATAAATTGTTAAAACTGAGTAAAAACCTTAGGAAAATACCAACTGAAAAGTTGTTGTCAATAAAACCCCCACTAATTCAATAATTAAGCCTCAGTTTAGCCTTCTCCCTTAATTTTATTGCATCTGTATATTTTGGGGTATGGTTTGTTTACTTCTTTCACTGCACAGGAACAGCTACATAATCAGTCACTGAACTGATTGCAAGCAAATTCAGTTGATAACCTTGTTATATATCATCTGTAGTTAATACCTTATAAATTTATTTAAATGGTATTTTTTACATATATGAATAAAAGTAAAAGACAAAAACAACTGGAGTCTGCAGTGTGTGCTAGCAATCATTGCGGGTGGGTAAACTGACAACATGTAACTGCATATTAAGACAAATGTAGAATTTAGACAAAGTATTCCATCTCTTTTCAGATGTATACTTTTAAACCTCAGGAACTGTTTTCAGTAGATGTCATGCCTTTTAACTTGAAAAAAGATAAGCGCAAATAAGCTCCCAATTGTCTCCCCAATATGTAAACCACATCTCGGGCTGCTGTCTCTGTTTCGCCTTTGAAGTTTCCCTGAAATGTCATGTGTTGTGAAGACTGCTGTGCATAAGCAAGACAATTTGCTCACTCTCAGAATTCTTACCGGTTTCCACTGCTATTTGGTATCCAGCCTCTAGTCTCCGAGATGACCTTTCCAGCCTCTCTGTGTTATCGAGCAGATGTGCCCTCTGAAAAAGAAAAGGGGAGAGAGAGAGAGAAAAAAAAATCAGGCAGCAGTCTACAATGTTCTCCCCCCTCTTTTTAATTGTGCTTTCATATACCAAAACATAAAAATATCCACGTATATTTTATGGAGGAGCCTGTTACAAGGACCACTGGAAGGGGCAGGTTCTGTGATCAATCATAATTATGTGTACCAATCATTTTTGTTTTGAAACGTGGAATATGTGCTTCACTTTTATTACACAAACCCACAAAGCAGAGTGCGACTATCACACAGGAATCCTGCCTGAAGAGCATTTCCAAAATAGATTTCCCTGTGACACATGTATGCAAGCACCCATGATTTCTATTCAACTACAGTTAGATGAAACCATTGCTTCAAATTCAAGGGTAGTTTTTAATATGAACTTAATCTTTAGCAGAGGATGTATTTCCTTTATGTGTACTACTCAAGTGAGGTGATATAAACAGCAAGCAATTCATACAGAATACTGAACATCAGGAATATTCTTC